TAATTTATTTTATAGCTCTTCTCGTCTAGTTCCTTGCTTCCCCGCCGCCTACAATCCTCAAAAGTTCAATACAAAGTCAATCGTCATCTACATTCCTGACACTTCCTTTATCGTACTTTCATGCTTATCATGAGTCATGCTTATATTTTAGAAGTCTTTCATTGTATTTAATGGTGAATATTAACTGCTAAGATGGAATATAGTAAAATTTAATTTCAGATAATAATTCAACTATATGTTATGTTACAGAGTCATTGCCATGACATTATATATATATATATATATATATATATATATATATATATATATATATATATATATATATATATTTATTTAAGTGATTATTGAGTCAACACTCAGAGGCAACAGGCTGTTCATGCGTCTAGCATGAAACAGCCTGTCGCCTCCGAGTGTTGACTTCAATGTTCACTTTATATTTACATATGCTCTACCTCTGATATTAATCACTTTATCCCACACATATATCACACCTTAAAACGATATTTCTTCACACACACACACACACACACACATATATATATATATATATATATATATATATATATATTTGTGTATTTAGGCAGCAATCCTTCTTTCATGCACATTTCATTGAATACGACAGACAAGGTGTTTTTATTTAGTTTTTTATACAATTTCTCATGCGATCTAATATTTTTTTTTCTCTTTTCGGATGATAAATTATATAAAAATAGTCCGTATGTTCTTTTTATCCGAGTACTATCGACTATACATTTAACCATTTTCAAGAATAAAATATTTTAACTGTTAAGTAAGAAATAGTTTGTTGTATGTATGTTTTATAAAATGTTTTCATTTTTCAATATATATATATATATATATATATATATATATATATATATATATATATATATATATATGATGTTTCATCAGTTTGTCAGTGGTGGGTATGGCGGGACAACAATGGAGAATTTGCCTACCTGACTCGATGACCTATCTGACTTATAAATGTTTAAGATAGATTCTAGAGAGAAAGGTTATCTAGCTGGATATATAGATAGTTGGAGAGCGTAGTTAATGACAGCTTAACTTCTTGTTTAGAGGCCAGTACCCCATGTTCTAGTCTTGCTGGTCAACATGATATTGAGGATGGAGATGACGATGAATAGGTCGAGTCTGATGTTGAAGACGACTGATTATAAAGGTAATTTTTCTAGGAGAGAAAAAACGTCTGATTTGATATTTCAATTTTCACGTCACCATAAATACATTTTTTATTCGATTTCTACAGTTTATCAACCCTTTGCAAGTAATTTAAAGCCAGAAAGTATTTTAGATTGTAAGATTTTTTGAATGTAGATAATAATGGTTTAGTCATACAGTTCTTACTAAGATTCATACATTTCCCAAGGGTATATGTGCATAAATGAATATAATAAATCCAACGGGAATTGGAACTCGGCTCTCCGATTATCTATTCACCACCTGCACACCCAAATTTATAGCATCCGGTATTCGTTGCTTTGGTAAACGTACCGGAACCGTTGTTTAACATGATGCGGTCGTAAGCCATCATAAGATAGGTACTTCATACATGAACTGAAAGAGTAAAATTTCTGCACAATTCTGCCAAGACTTCGTTTGATGACCGGAATTTGAAATTCAAACTTTGCATAATTCTATATTATTAGTATTTTTGTGTTGTTTGATTTAATTTTATTTTCTGCATTGACATTTCTTTTACATGTCAATTTTCGCTGAATCACTTGTTAAGCAGCAAGAAGAAAAACATATCTAAAAATTCCCGAAGGAGAGACAAAAAGAAAGAACGCAAAGATTGACATTTTTTTTACTTAAAATATCTTTCAATATGTTTTCAAAATCTAGCATATTCTCGATGTTAGCAGACAATTTTAGGTCAATAGTTCTCACCGAACAAGATGTTTGCTTATGAGAAGGAATATGTTGCTTCTAGGGTCATACCGCTTCATTATATGAAGGATAACAAAATCCCAAGATGGTGGTCACGAAATCCAAATAATAGGCATCCATTATCCATATGGCGCGCTGAAAAGTCATTCAGAACCCATTGAATGGCGGATTTTGCTTCTTATCTATCTATCTATCTATCTATCTATCTATCTATCTATCTATCTATCTATCTATCTATCTATCTATCTATCCGAGTACGTTTTTCTCTCTCTGTTTGATACATTTTTTGATAAAAACATGGTCAAAAATAAGGCTACCTATCGATTATTCGATTACTAATTATAATAGGAGTTAAAGGATAATATTTTTATCTCCTTCCATGAATCATTGAAACAAAATAAAAAGTACAGTTTGTGATGAAAGACTTCAACGGTTCCTGGATTTTATTCACAATCTTGAACCAGATTAATAAAATTTTTGTTTTTTGCCCTTTGCATGTTATCGCATAACCTGAGGAAATTTAGAAATGTAAATCCAAAAGATTCCCTTTTGTGAATGTTTTTAGAATATTAGTTTTGAAAATTCAAAA